GTGGGCGTCGATTGGGAATAGGCGTTACTGTACCAAAACATCCCATTTCGCGTGTTTTGAGTTTTTGCTTGAATTTTGTTGAAAATGTGGATAACGATGTTTTCATCATTTTGTGTTTTGTGTACAAATTTTTGGTCGTTTTCAAAAATGCGTTTTCGAAAATAGGAAAGAGAACGCGTTTTTGTTGTTTTGAAAAACTGAAAATAGAAAACGACCCAAAACAGCCAAAGAGAACGGCACCTAAGGAATCCCGATCTTCATGTTGTTCAAATGCCTTGAGAATATATGCAAACCCCTTACCCGCCGTAGAAGAGATTGTGAGTGGAATGAATGAAATTTTGGCCCTCTCCAAATTTTGAGGACAAGCCCCGGCGGCAAAGTAAGCGCGGATTGGCGTGATATTTTATGTGGTTGCAAGGTATGAAGAATCATGGAGCTCTTTTGAGAGTGCTATAGCAAAACTTAGGGCTAATGGTGAGAGGAAATCAACATTCTTCGGGAAGGTAGTATCGCTAGGAGAAATGATCTTCATGGATTTTTTGTTGATATTTCCGACTTAGGGTCACTTTTTTCCCCAGAGGCTTAGATAGAATTTACTCTCTCTCAGATATAATAGATAGGCTTTCAGACCTCACTTATTCAAATGCTGAATTTTGTTGGTGTCGTAACTCGTAACTCATAAATCCCGTCCTCTTGTAATAAGTAAGAAATATTTTAGCTTCAAAAACATTAAGATAATATTTAAGTATTTTATAAGAACTATGGGTTAAAACTCCTTGGAGCTTAAATACCTCAGCATTTGGACTAGTTCAAAATTCAGTTTCTTGGTTGTCTTGACTCTTGAGATTAGTGATGTAAAATACTTACCACCTTCTTTGGCAGTATTTTGAAGAATTACTTTTCGAACAGTTATAAAATTTGGAGTCCTAAGGATTGACCACATATATTGTGCAAGTGTTATTATTACACAACATATTTGCATAGTGATCCTAGGCTTTGCGCTCATGGCATCAGCACGAGTCATGAGAGATGCTGCTGCTAATAACTTGGCATCAGATACTGCCATGAATGCATCTGAATTCTCATTAGGACCCTATTGGGAATTGTAATCCAAAGCGGTATCTGTAATTGAGCTCTAATTTCAAATCAGTAAGAATCTTGAAATGGAGAAAGTATGTATCAAATGGATTTACTCGTCTTTCTCAAGCATGACATGATATGATGTATCATCAGTAGACATTTTGGATGTCCCGATAGTATGGCTGTGTTAATGCTTTTTTTTTTAAGCCATGTGTAGGTTGATGCAATCATAATTTAACAGTGTTTTCTGTAAATCTCCAGAATTGAAGATGCAACAGAGATTCTTGAGTTTGTTCTTAAATTGAGAGGAGAAGCTTGGAACAGCAAATCCAGATTTTAACTACGAGAAGAAAAGGCGAACTGAGCTTTAGAAAGAATCCGGTATGCCTAGGAACAAGAAGGCAAAATCACTTGAAAACCTTAACGACACTAATTTCAGAATGACAAAGAAAGAGACGTCAAGAAAGTGGTCTGGTTTTGGGCACAGAAGTTGATGGCCGGTAATCTTCTCCCAAGCCCTTCTAATTTCTCACACATATCCTGTTACGTAGAAGATTGTGTATAACGTTGAAGCTGTAGTTTCACAAGTCCCATTTCATGGGTCTTTGAGATGCCAATTTTTATGCGATGTTGAATTCTGTGAACGGAATTTATTTCCTTTCTTCCACCTGAGTTGATTTCTGCCTACTGATCAAATAATAATTTGTGCTGTCACTATTTCAGTATTTCTACTTCACAAATTCTACAGGAACATTAGCTTTTGTGCCCATCCATATAAATCATGCAATAGCCCTTACTTCGGTATTAATGTCATTGCTTTAGCTTTACTTCATGTTTGTTCCTTGTGTTTAGATAATTATTCTACAGTATCAAGTACAAAACTGTTTCTCTAACAAAATTCTTAAATTATTAAGGGTCGTAATCAAAATTTATACTTACACATGAAATCATCCCAAGACTGCAAGATTTTCCTATGAGCTTACCATGCAAAATCCTATTCCTCATTCACCCGAACTGTCGCAGGAGCTCCCAATATTGACCATAATATCATGAACAAACAGTCTGATTATATGGCTACCTGATGATCTCGAAATATCAATGCATTCCTGCAAGTCAGCATCGCAGGCAATTAGAACCCACTCCTGATCATCGTCCAAGTACTTGATATCGAATGTGCCAACCTCTAACTTCAGCCTCTTTGTCACTTCCTCCTTTAAATTGGTAATGCCCAAGCCTAAAGAGAGTCGAAACCTAATAATATCCTCTCGGTAAGTGGCTTTTATTGTGATGGTTTTCAGTTCTGGCCTGGCAGAAAACTGTGGCATTCGATCTACAGGAACGACCGTGGAACTAGGAACTGAATCAGAACGTGGTGGTTTCGTCCAACTGTATTCTGGAACGTGTTCATCAAACAAAGTCTCGCCAGCTGGACACAGATTACGAAGATCATGTGAGCTTCCTGCATCCTCGATTAACATTCCTCCAAATGGCTCTTGGGGTGCTGTGACAAAAGCATTGGCTTTGGGTATCGACAATGCAACAGATAAATTAATCTCCTGCGTTGGTTGACATGCCAATTCAAGTGAACTCGTGGGTTTTATGTGGTTTTCATTGACAGGCGTAAAGACTGGATCATTTTGTTGAGAGTTGTCAATTCCAAGAAAATGATTATTTTGGCATGAACCATAAGAAGTCGGGGTCCCTGTGCTTTCTTCTCTCGACCTACTTCCCGATTTTGATCTGTTTGAGCCTTCACCAAGCAATGTTTCAGTGTGCTGCGGAATAAGTTCCACAGTTCCAAAAATCTCCACCAGTTCATCACCTCCAGGTGGTATAGGCCCCTGTGAACTTTGTTGATTGGGCTCATTAATACTTGCTGACCATGAAATTGAACCAACATCAACAGGAATCGAACTTGTAGCCAAAGAAGTCAAGGTGAATGCTCCTTCAGCACCTTGTACAGATTCAATTACATGCTTTAGCTTAGAAAGAGAACGATTAACTCTGTTAATCTTGCGAGAGGGCCATCTGGAGATCCCATGCTGCCTGCAGATGCGCTTCATGGTAGTAGGGCAAACTGTAGAAGCATAAAAAGAAATATTATTCGAAGTGAACAAAATGAAGCGTAACGGGTACCAAGATTAAAGCATACCCCCAAGATTCTTGGCAGCATCCTTAAGACTCCCGGCAAAGTATTGCTGCAGAACCTCTAGGCTGATTGTCTTCTCAGCCTTCCCCCGTTTTCTCTCTGATTTCTTGCCCGTGTCTTTATTCTCAACAAAAGATACAGCACTTCCTACATTATTAGTGGTATTAAATCCAACCAATTGCCGCTTTTCCAATGAATGAAGATGTACTGCCTCTTCATTTGGAAAGGCAGCAGACTTTGGGGGAGAATTTGCAGCAAAATCAAGCCTTGAATTAATTTTCTCATCCATGGATGCTTTTGTAATCTCAATAGATCTCCATTCATGTTCGAGGTCGTTCCCTGAAGCAACCCTCAAGCTCCCAAAATGCTGTCTCATTGTCAACAAAATTGCATCCAACAAGGTCCGTTGGTTGTTATGGTCTTGGACATTCGGAGGCAGAAAGAATTCTAAAACGTAATCGTCGTTTCCAGTATGAGTGCTCCTTAAACAAATTGCAACGCTACTTTTCAACCCAAACATGCGAGCATAATGTACCAAGGGGTACTCGGTTTTGCAGAATTGCGTGATATCATCACAGAAGTGCAAGTTATGTGATGCAAATGCCCTCCCAACAACTCCCTGGCCCTTCTGTAAGTGATGCTCTGCACAGGCCTCTCGGAAGCCCCACATATGCGCATCCACCACATAATATGCTACATCAGTTGTTGACATGCATACCTGTCCCATGCAACTTCCATCAAAGCTACTACAAGTTTTCTTAAAACCTCCGCCATCTGCTAGAACATTCCGATGTCTGCAAGGAATCCATGTCTGAGCCAGAGGTAATGTGTGATTCTCACATACCACTGTTAGTATCTCCAAGATCTCAGCCAGTGCATTTTGGCGACCTTCATTGCATATCTGGTGTGCATGATAGCCAAATAGATTATTTAGTCAGAAAAAGAAATTATTTCACCATTATATGATCTTCACTTAAAAAGTTACTGGTTACCTGTGTGTTTGGATGATCCAATATCTCTGAACTTTTCAAATTAACGGCCTGCAGAAGAACTGAATTTATGTAACTTAAGGAGGCACTCTATCACATGCATTAAAAGTTTAAAAACAAAAAATTGAAAACTTAGAACAATGACTATAATGGTGTAACCTTGCGACTCAAAATGTAAATAACAAGACAAACAAACTAGTTGCACAAAAATCTTGAAAAAGAAAAACGGCTAAGTGCTCGAAGAGAATGCTTAACCAACCTCAAGTGCTTTGCATACTTTATCAACCTCAGGGGCATAGTTGATTTTCTGGGAAGTCATTATGAGCTCAAGTACACCAACACAGGACTGTCTAGAAGGTTCAAATACAGGCAAAGCCAAAGTTCCACGAATGTTATAATTCAGAGCATGGCTCAGCCGGGGAAATTCATTGCTAGAATAGTACTGCACATTAGGCGTCCATTCAGGTAACCTTTGCCAAAACACTCGACCCGGAAGTCCAAGGGCTCCGTCAGTCTCTCCATCCACAGAAAACATATACATCAGAGAAACTAGCCTATACTGATGAAGTCCATTACTATCCGAGTCAAGAACAAAGGGCTGCCCCGAAGTAGTGAGCACATACCTACCACCATTCTTCACAGGTGCCCAAACCTGAGCCAATACATGCTCTCCTGTCAAATCTTTGAAGTATCGAAGAGCTTGAGTCATCCTCTCCTTGATTATACAAGACTCGTCTGGATTATCAATTGGTCTCAATCCAAGAAGGGGTGAAGGCAGTTTTCTTTTATCATCATTTTCCACTCCATTGTAGGTTATTGACTCAGGATTAGTCGCATCTGCTTGAAATTTTGCAAAACGATAGTAAATAAAACGAGCCTCCCACGGATACTTCCGCTAACATGTACCATTGATTACAACTAGTACTTCAAGAAAATCAGAGAACAGAAAACAAACAAATTTTAGATAATTTGGCAATCAAAAAAATATATATATAACAAAAATAATCTATACATCTTACCCCTTGATTTTCCATCTTTTCTATATCCCAAAAGTTAGGATTTGAATTGAACACAGATCATTAAAAGCACGATTCTATGTAAAGTTATATCAGCAATCTTCTTCTTCATTTCTATACTCTCTTTTTTCTGGACATCCATATAAACCTCCTTAGAATACGGAACCTTTCATATGTGTATATAAAGCTAAATTGGTTTACAGGTTCATGAAAGAAAAAGAATGCCAACATCACCAAAAAAAAAAAGGTAATGAATTTGCAAAAATTTCAGATTACCAAGTCTAAGAAAACAACTCAAACAGTGGTAGAAACTATAGAATCTCCAACTTTTTCAATCAAAAATAGACAAAATATAAAACATTTTTTGGCTTAGTCACTAACAATTCAACACATGAAAAAAAGAGAGTCAAATAACAAGCTTGGAGCAAGCAAAGTCATACAAGGCATACGCCTGGAGCAGTTGGAGAGGCGGAAACCTCCACCGGGGACGGAGTTTCCAGCCGGTTTACAATCGCTATTCTCATCGTTGAAAGCCCATAAAGGCGAACACGGCTGCTCCGAATTCGATAGCTGAAACGGCGACATAAGATTCGTAAAGATCTGATCGGAAGACCAAGAAGATTCGAGATCCAAATCCAAATCCATCATAAACGCCGCCACGCTCTGCGGCGCCGGCGGCGGATTAAGTAAAGGTCGCTCTGACTTGGGAGAAGACGGAGCTTTATCTTCAGGATCAAATGACATTTTGGGAGAATAAAGTTTTCCTCTCTCGGGAAAATGTAGTTAAGCCTGTTTCACCACATTATTTTTTTTCATTTTTAATCTTCTACTCATTTTAATTACATATTTTTCAATAAAATAATATTTTTCATTACATTAATAATTTTTCCTTCTTTTTCAACCACATATTATTTATCACATCACTTCAAAAATATGCATTCTCTCATTTTAATGTGTGCAATGAGGAATTTGGCGATTCCATTGTTCGTATCGTCGGAATTGAAATTGTACGCAATATCGACAGAAATGTACTCTTTGTTGTTGGAATGGAATCTCCACTGCAGTGTGCAGTCTGCAAATTGCAACATGATGCATGGATAAAAAAAAGGGTTATTCTTCTTGTACATAATGAGCACCATAATGGTGTCCATAATGGACACATGGTGCCCATTCATTGGAGGGAGTGTTGGCCCACCAACACTCCCTCCAATGAATGGGCACCATGTGTCCATTATGGACACCATTATGGTGC